TCTCTCGCAGTCGGAGGCGGAGAGTACTACCCATCTCAAAAACGTCCGTCCTCTCTGCCGCACCCTGTATAAAAAATTGAAAAAACACGTTGCTAACAAGATTTTTGCAACTGCACGAACGTTTTTTGCATACACATGGCTTACAAAATTTATTGACAATAAAATCAAAAAAATTGTTTAGCGTCGTTTTCTGGTGTCCTAGGAGACCATAATTAGTTATTACACTGGACAACAAATTTTAGTTTTTTAATTGTATCTTGTGGGAAAATTGCACTTCTTTGTTAATTTTGGGACGCTGAATCCAAAAATGACAATTAAATAAAAAAATTAGTTGCGGTTTAGAAAAAAAACTTTTTATTTTTAAGGATATATTAAAAAAAGTAACAAGATTCATATACTTATAAGAATCACTATATGCGCTGTCTTTTTGCTGTTCTTTTATGGATCGTTTCTGGAGCATCTCTACCAAGCGTCCAACAGTAGTCTGCAAGCATGGAAGGATTCCACTTTCCCTGGTACTTTTTTTCCATTGTTGAAATATCCTGATGAAAACGTTCGCCGTACTCATCACTTACGGCTCCGCAATTGTCAGGAAAAAAGTCCAGGTGTGAGTGTAGAAAATGTATCTTAAGAGACATATTACAGCCCATCTTTTGATACGATGACAGCATATTTTTGACAAGGGTTTTATAGTTGTCAGCTTTTCTATTTCCCAAGAAATTAGTGACCACTAGACGGAAATCATTCCAAGCAGTTTTTTCAATACCTGTTAAAGTGTTTTCAAACTGTGTATCTTTCAAAATATTTCAAATCTGTGGCCCAACAAAAATACCTTCTTTAACCTTTGCCTCACTTAGTCTTGGAAATTTTTGACGCAGGTATTGAAAAGCTGACCCATCTCTATCTAATGCCTTGACAAAGTTTTCCATTAGGCCCAACTTGATATGCAGTGGTGGTAATAAAATTTTTTTCGAATCTACTAATGGCATATGCTGTACATTTTTTGACCTGGCTCTAGGAATTGACGAACAGGCCAGTTTTGTCTGGTGTAATGAAGTGCCTTTGCCCGACTGTCCCATTCACACAAAAAAACAGCAAAACTTTGTGTAGCCTAGCTGCAGCCCAAGTAAAAGTGCAACAACTTTCAAATCGCCACAAATATGCCATTGGTGCTCATCGTATTTTATGCTTGTCAATAGGTACTTCATATTGTCATATGATTCTTTCATGTGAACTGCATACCCTACAGGAAGAGATGGTAAAATATTTCCAATATGCAATAACACTGCCTTTAAACTCAATGTTGAACTGTCTATAAACAATCTCCATTCTTCTGGGTTATAGTTTATATTTAAAGCCGCCAGTAAGCCGTTAATGTTACTGCAGAAAACCAAGTTATTCTCCATATTGAAAAATGGTTCTAAGTCTTTGTGTCGTTTACGAAAAACATATACCGAAACATCGTCTTCTAACAAGTTCCACTGCTGCAGTCTTGATCCAAGTAACTGTGTCTTACATTTTGGAAGTTCTAAATCTCTTACAAGATCATTTAATTCTGACTGTGTTATTTTGTGCGGTTGGTGGCATGACGTGCTCGGTATAAAATCAGGATCTCTTGACGTTGATGGCATATCTTCTTCCTGACGAATCACTCGATCGCCATGATCTGATTCGTTTTCTGATTCGCAAGTGTAGGATTCTGGGGGTTTTGGAATAGGATTTTCGTCACTGTGAGGCATAGGTCTCATCGCAGATGGTATGTTTGGGTAGATAGTTAATAACCGATTTTTTTTCTTGGACATACCTGTGGCTTGTCCAACACAAGGTACCATGCAAAAGTAACAATCATTAGTATGATTTGTAGGCTCTCTCCAAACCATTGGGACAGCAAAGCGCATAGACCGTTTTTTGCCATTTAACCAGCTCCTTAGACTTGAAGCACATGTAATACAGCAGATGTGGGGTGCCCACTGTTTGTCTTGATCATCTAGTTTACAACCGAAATAAAGCTGATATGCCTTTGTTATTAGTGGAGTAATAAACCGTCTCTGAGACGCAAAAATCACATCACCACACACGTAACAAAACTGATCTAGATTGCTTACACACTATCGAGACATCTTGCATGAACTCTGTCAGCCAACTGAGGAAAAACTGAGGAAAAAATGGCTAATATAAAACAATATAATGTACACGTATGTATAATGTAACACAATCATGCCGATTACATCTTCTTTCCTTGCCGAATAAAAAAATGTAGCACGTGCATTCTTGTGAATTAGAGTATATTAACACTGTCACAGCAGGAACACATATAATTACCGTATCTCTAAAACTTGAACTAATATTGAAAAAATAAGTTTCATTCCAGTTTTAGCACATTAAAAATAGTAATATTTTGTTGATTTTATTTAGGATATTTTTTGGCTGTTGATCAGTGTTATGTTATCTATTATGTTAAAATTGTCACAAATGATTTAGTCAAAATACTGGTTCTAAAATATTCACAATAAAACATTCGGATTTTGTTTCGCTGGGGACCGTAAAGGGAACTTTATCTAACAAAAAATATCCATTCCTCATATTCCCATGAGCCCGTTTATACAAAAAGGCAGTTGCTAGAAAAATGCGTCTCCTGTTCAGAGAAACAAATAAACAGCAAAGAGTAATGAAACCTCCATCAGGAAATACACCCATACTAATCTATAAAAAAATGAAAAAACGAGTTGCTAAGAAGATTTTTGCAACTGCACAAATGTTTTTTGCATACACATAGCCTACAAAATTTATTGACAATAAAATCAAAAAAATTGTTTAGCTTCGTTTTCTGGTGACCTAGGAGACCATAATTAGTCGTTATCAAAAGTATTGTAATTTTTGGGGACAACAGCAGTCAAGTGTTGCCGCGGGTAAACTCGACAAAACTGCTGACAGGTTTTTTTTATACCCATTGGGTACCGTGGGGCTATAAGGGGATACAGGAGAAAGGGGGAACGCCACACAGACTCTGGCGAGGGAACACGTGTGCATGCAACATGCACACATTCTGGCTCCGCCTACGAGATCCGCCGGGTGGTACCTCCGCGTTCGACAGTCAGAAACCGTCTACTACCTACGGACAATCACAACATCCATAGCAAGAGAAAAATTTCTCCTGGGACGGGACTCGAACCCGCACAACGCACGACGACTGATCAGGAGACCGAATAGTCTACTACTGTGGCCACCGCTGCTGCCAACACCCCGAGTATTTGGAAGGGCACATTTTTGGACCATAGTTTATAAAGTAAACTAACATCAATTTTTCATATAGATTCACATCCTTAAATATTCGCATATCATTAAGGAACACCCTGTATAACGAGATTTTTTTTATTTATAAAGTTTTCCTTGCAACCTTTCGTTTGTTTGATTGTAGCTAGAGTCCTTATGCATTTTTTTGAAGAATCAAGACCCTGTTTATATCCCGCGAGCTGCCTCAGAAGATTAGGCCATATCTAATCCTAGACTGAACAAACGCGTGGTATGCCGATAGGGCAACGTCGAAACCAACCAACATCCTCAACGAGCGCCTCCCAGTGCAGTCGCCTGTCAATCCTAACACTCAGAAAAGAAATGTATTTTTATAAGAAAAAGAAAGTGGCATCCGTTCTAATGGGTGATTTTTTTGCTAGTATCTTTTTGGCAACACTGTTTTTGACAGATGACGCGTGAATCGTGTCTTGTGTCATTGTCAAACTTGTTCAGTTTGGTCTATAATTTAACCATGAATCGACTTACGAACGAACAACGCTTGCAAATTATTGAATTTTACTATCAAAATTCATGCTCGGTTAAGAGAGTGCATCGAGCACCGCTTCCAATTTATGGGCAATTTGGTCGGCCTACTGAGGGAGCTATTCGGAGGCTTGTGACTAAATTTCGAACCCAGTTTACATTATTGGACATTAAACCACCAACACGCAGACGTAGAGTGAGGACTGAAGAAAATATTGCGGCTGTATCCGCCAGTGTTAGTGATGACCGTGAAATGTCGATTCGCCGCCGTTCGCAGCAAGTGGGCCTCTGTTACTCCACTACGTGTAAAATTTTGCGAAAGGATTTGGGTGTAAAACCTTATAAGATACAGCTGGTGCAAGAATTGAAGCCACACGACCTCCCACAACGTTTCCAATTTGGTGAATGGGCGCTGGCAAAGTTGGAGGAAGATCCACATTTTTATCGAAAAGCGACGAAGCTCATTTCTGGTTGAATGGGTACGTTAACAAGCAAAATTGCCGCATCTGGAGTGAAGACCAGCCAGAAGCATTGCAAGAGCTACCAATGCATCCCGAAAAAATCACTGTTTGGTGTGGATTATGGGCCGGTGGCATCATCGGGCCGTACTTCTTCAAAGACGACAATGGCCGGAACGTAACTGTGAATGGCGAGCGCTACTGTGCGATGATAACAAACTTTTTTTTGTCCAAAATGGAAGAGCTGGACTTGGCTGACATGTGGTTTCAACAAGACGGTGCCACATGCCACACCGCACACGAAACAATGGCCCTATTGAGAGGCGAGCTCGGTGAACAGTTTATCTCACATTTGGGGCCCGTCAATTGGCCGCCTAGATCGTGTGATTTAACGCCGTTGGACTAATTCTTGTGGGGCCATGTTAAGGCTAATGTCTACAGGGATAAACCAGCAACGATTGATGCACTGGAAGCAATATTGAAGCATTTATTCGTGAGATACCGGCCGATATGTTGGAGAGAGTGTGCCAAAATTGGACCTTGCGCATGGGCCATCTAAAGCGGAGCCGCGGCCAACATTTACATGAAATAATCTTTAAACATTAAATTATATCCACCGTTCTATCGACTCAGATAAAGTTTCAATCGTTTTTTCAAATTTTTTGTGTTTTTTTGAAAATCAAACCCTATACCTCTTAAAAAATCACCCGTTATAAAAGACGGTTTACCGCCCGGTCGTAGATGAAGGTTCTTTTTTCGTTTCAGCTGCAAGGCGACATCCACCACGTACAGTGCCAGCCCATCATCCAGAGCGACGGCCAATTGGCTGCGGTCCTGGAACTTTGGAGGCGGGAGGGGGGCGGGCCGTTCTACGAGGAGGACGAGGAGATCGCAGCCAGCTACCTGGTGTGGGGCGGCATCGCGCTCCACTACGCGCAACTATACCTCAACATGAACCAACAGCGGAAGCTTAACGATTTCCTATTGGCTGTTGTCAAGTAAGTGTAAGAATACCTTAAGCTAAGAGTAAGGCTACACCTTTCAACGTGAACAAAATTTAGCGTGAATTTTGATCACTCATAATTACACGGTAGTCTTATTTCGGTTCTACAGTGTGTCCCAATATGCCGTGGACATGGAGGTACCATGCATTGTTCGACTCAAAATAAGTCGATTGGACCTCTATGCTAGACGTTCTAATATTTGACTCTTACGAAAAGCTTCAAAGGGTTAGAGAAGGTAAAAACCCTTCCATAAATTGTAGCGGAATATTGTGACGACCCTCCCGACGACACTGAAATTTTTTTATCTAGCAGATATTTTCATTTACTTATTTTTTTGTCTTCTAATAAAAACATAATAACTCATATAGTTTCCGAAAAAAAATTAGTTGCATCAAGAGGCGCCCAAGAGTCTTATCAATTCTTTAAGTGTTGTTAACAAAAAAAAACAAGTGTAGTATGATATAACTTATTACAATTTTATTTAGTGCAGGCAATAGTGCGAAAATATGACGATTTGGGATTCGTCGATTCGTCAGAAACCAAGTACCTACAACATATCACTCTGTTCTTCAAAAGAATATTCCATAATCACGAGAAAACAACAACTTAAGCAAAGATAATCTCAAACGTTAATTAGTTTGAAATTTATGAAGAACAAAGGACAAATTAACAATAAAAAAATCTATGGTACTGACTTTGATTGTGATTTCAAACCGTATTGTGATTGGCTACTGGTACTGGTTCTTGGATTAAAATTCCAAATGAAGCTTTTAATAGCCTGAATCAAAATCACTCTCACAAAGATGACAAATGGCGCCCGCAGGAATTTTACCCAGGGTGGTCGATTAGACGTGGTAAAGAGGTAATTTGTTGTATATTATGGTAAATTCTGATTTTTTCTAAATTTTATGTATGGGTTCTTAAAAATATTACTATATAGTATTTTTTTGTATACACGATGTGGGTAATATCGATTATAGCGTCTCATTTGATAAAATGCAACTATATTCGATAGGATACATAGTTAGGATCGATATCATCGTATACAAAAAACCTAGCACGAGAAACTTTATACCTTATAACTTTGATAAGACCAAATAACCAGATCCATATTTTCAATATCATGCTCAAATAGAAAATATAGCATGAATTACTTATGCTTTGTGTTTAACCATTCTTTTCCTCTTTTCCACTTTGTTTGCAAGCTTGCACATCAATTGTTTTCTCTTTTTTCCTGTTTCATATATTTTTATATTGATCCATTTTTTAGTTATTATTTTGTTTTTATTCATTTTTTCAAACATCCTTATGGTAGTCATCATGTTACGCCTATGTTCCGACAATGCTTGTAAAATAATTTATAAAACTTGCTGGTTTTGCCAGTGCTGAATATGACTTTGCAATAATGTTTTACAAAGTATGTATATACGGGGTGTAAACGTTATGATAGTCATTATTGAAATGGGTAATAGGGGGTGGTTCAAAACAAGTCAAAAGGTTCATATAACCCATGGTATAAAAGTCATTAGATTTTTGTCTAAATGGCTTTATAGTTTACAACTTTAAGTGCTTTATATCAACCACAATCACAACATTCTTACTAATTTTTATATTCTAATCTAAAACGTTTTTAAATTGCGTAAGTTAAGCCAAAATTTGTAGTCAGTGAGTAAGTTTCATTAAATTAAATATTTAAAACACACATGACAACAGCGCGTCGGTCATTCATCACTCTTATCGAACCGGCAATCGATCGCAAACGGTAACAGTGGTTAGTTATTGTTCGCGTACGTCGTCATGTTTAGTTACAATGTTCGCGAATCAAGAGTTCGCCCACATCTTGTTAGTTTACGGTGAAGCTCGTCAGAATTCTAATCTTGCAGCTCAAATTTATCGTGACACATTTCGCCAACGGGTACACCCAGACAGAAGGACATTTGTGCAACCAAAGACTTCGAGATACAGGAAGTGTTCAGCCCACTAATATTCGCACTCGTGAAAGACAGGAGGAACAAATTTTAAATATCGTGGAAACCAATGAAGATATCAGCACTCGGGAATTAGGCCGCCGCGTAGGACTATCGCATACCATACTCCAAAGAATCTTTCGGGAAATTTTGCTTTATCCCTACCATATGCAACGAGTGCAAAAATAAATCAAAATTAGTGTGACTTGTTTCATCTTCACGAATGTGACGCTAAACGCGCGTGTTTATGCTGCGCGTCAACTTATCGCTCGTATGTCCCGGCACTTACGTTTAAGAATAATACTGAATAATGATTAATCTACTTAACACCGTTCTTTTAATGGATTCACCCTCTAATCTTGTTATCCCTGCCGCTGATTGATTGATCGATACAGCACAAAAAAGCACTTCATCAACCCTTAATAACACCTCATCTGGTTTTTCCGATTTATCTTCATATCCCGGAACAGTGGAACAAGTGAGATGAATTGTCGATGTGACCCTTTGGGAAAAACCGAATCATTTGTCAGTCAGTGTTGTTTTCGCTTCGGAATTTCATCAATCTATCGCTTCCCTGCTATGATGCCGAGGCGATTTCCTTTAGGAGAACATTGAAATGCTGGACGTGTGTGAGGCCTTGGAATTCAACACGTGTTCACTGTGTTAGGGCCAATAGGATGAAGGTTGTGAGTACGGAACGGGGGGGGGTTAGGGTTGAATTAATTCCACTGGACAACAAATTTTAGTTTTTTAATTGTATCTTGTGGAACAAGTGCACTTCTTTGTTAATTTTGGGGCGCTGAATCCAAAAATGACAATGAAATAAAAAAATTAGTTGCGGTTTAGAAAAAAAACTTTTTATTTTTAAGGATATATTAAAAAAAGTAACCAAGATTCATATACTTATAAGAATCACTATATGCGCTGTCTTTTTGCTGTTCTTTTATGGATCGTTTCTGGAGCATCTCTACCAAGAGTCCAACAGTAGTCTGCAAGCATGGAAGGATTCCACATTCCCTGGTACCTTTTTTCCATTGTTGAAATATCCTGATGAAAACGTTCGCCGTGCTCATCACTTACGGCTCCGCAATTGTCAGGAAAAAAGTCCAGGTGTGAGTGTAGGAAATGTATCTTAAGAGACATATTACAGCCCATCTTTTGATACGATGACAGCATATTTTTGACAAGGGTTTTATAGTTGTCAGCTTTTCTATTTCCCAAGAAATTATTGAAAACCAGACGGAAATCATTCCAAGCAGTTTTTTCAATACCTGTTAAAGTGTTTTCAAACTGTGTATCTTTCAAAATATTTCGAATCTGTGGCCCAACAAAAATACCTTCTTTAACCTTTGCCTCACTTAGTCTTGGAAATTTCTGACGCAGGTATTGAAAAGCTGACCCATCTCTATCTAATGCTTGACAAAGTTTTTCATTAGGCCCAACTTGATATGCAGTGGTGGTAATAAAAATTCTTTCGAATCTACTAATGGCATATGCTGTACATGTTTTTGACCTGGCTCTAGGAATTGACGAACAGGCCAGTTTTGTCTGGTGTAATGAAGTGCCTTTGCCCGACTGTCCCATTCACACAAAAAACAGCAAAACTTTGTGTAGCCTAGCTGGAGCCCAAGTAAAAGTGCAACAACTTTTAAATATTCACAAATATGCCATTGGTCCTCATCGTATTTTATGCATGTCACTAGGTACTTCGTATTGTCATATGATTCTTTCATGTGAACTGCATACCCTACAGGAAGAGATGGTAAAATATTTCTAATATGCAATAACACTGCCTTTAAACTCAATGTTGAACTGTCTGTAAACAATCTCCATTCTTCTGGGTTATAGTTTATATTTAAAGCCGCCAGTAAGCCGTTAATGTTACTGCAGAAAACCAAGTTATTCTCTATATTGAAAGTCTTTGTGGCGTTTACGAAAAACACGTACCGAAACATCGTCTTCTAACAAGTTCCACTGCTGCAGTCTTGATCCAAGTAACTCTGCCTTACATTTTGGAAGTTCTAAATCTCTTACAAGATCATTTAATTCTGACTGTGTTATTTTGTGCGGTTGGTGGCATGACGTGCTCGATATAAAATCAGGATTTTTTTCTTGGACATACCTGTGGCTTGTCCAACACAAGGTACCAAGCAAAAGTAACAATCATTAATATGATTTGTAGGCTCTCTCCAAACCATTGGGACAGCATAGCGCATAGACCGTTTTTTGCCATTTAAGCAGCTCCTCAGACTTGAAGCACATGTATTACATCAGATGTGGGGTGCCCACTGTTTTTCTTGATCACCTAGTTTACAACCGAAATAAAGCTGATATGCCTTTGTTATTACTGGAGTAATAGACCGTCTCTGAGACGCAAAAGTCATATCACCACACACGTAACAAAACTGATCTGGATTGTTTACACACTTTCGAGACATCTTGCATGAACGCTGTCAGCCAACTGAGGAAAAAATGGCTAATATAAAACTATATAATGTACACGTATGTATAACGTAACACTATCATGCCGATTACATCATCTTTCCTTGCCGAATATAAAAATGTAGCACGTCATTCTTGTGAATTACAGTATATTAACACTGTCACAGCAGGAACACATATAATTACCGTATCTCTAAAACTTGAACTAATATTGAAAAAATAAGTTTCATTCCGGTTTTAGCACATTAAAAATAGTAATATTTTGTTGATTTTATTTAGGATATTTTTTGGCTATTGATCAGTGTTCTTAGTGTCATTTTTCACAGTCAAAGCACCAATTTAACAATTAGATTTTTAAAGAACACAAGAGAAGGTGACTGCAGTATACAGGGTTTGTCCGGAAAGTAATAGGACTGAGTCGATTTAAAAAAATTTATTCAGCCAATCGATACAATTCTTTAAAAACTTTCAAAATAGGCTCCTTCTACGTCGATGCAGCGCTGCCAGCGCGATTTCCAGGCATTGAAGGCGTCACGGAATGCATTCTCCGGAATAGCCTTGAGAGCCGCGGTGCATGCTGCTTGG